TTGAGTCACAAGTGGTTCTCAGAAAGGAAGGCAAAGTTGATGCAAAAAGGGGACTGGTTTCTTGGGATGCAAATTAAAGAAATGCAACTTCTGGTAGCATTTGATTGAAATGGTCTTCGAGATGATAAACCTAAAAGTTTTGTGAAAAATATAATTTGTAAGCACGTATTAAGTCTAAAATACAGACAGCAAACCAATTTAGTGGATGATTACACAAAAATTCAAGGGAGCCTTTTTGCTATGATTTAGCTATAATATCATGATTAAGATGTCAAATTTTCGAATATAGAAATGATTTGCTTTGGCTTTATTTGTTGCTAAGCAAGTTTTTCCATTTTGAATTTTTGATAGAAATTTGTACAGTCCAATAGACGTTCAATGTATTCCGCATGTGAGCCAAAACTTCTACAAAGCAAGCAAATCAGTGTACCTTTCTTTCTAGTTTGCTATTTTTAGGTCTGCCATCTTTAGTTTAAGTTTCAGTAAAGATGAGGCTTCCTCACACCTCAGGTATTCTGTAATTTAAACTTACTATCCTTTATGCATCTGAGGTTAGTTTTCTTATAACTTTGAACTTTTTTTTGAGAATGTTAAATTTCAATTAGTTTACTCAGCGCCCATTTGTAGTCAACAGCTCAACTTCGCTATTAGTGCTACATATATGTTATGTTGCTTAGAAATTGATTGATTATGATGAAATGCTCATTTGACCATGCCCTTATTTTCAGAACACACCCACCTGGGTCCCTCCAGTTATTTGTGGCCAGTTAAAAATTCTGAGCCAGTCCGCCACTGGTTGGAGTGTGTCTATTATAATTAGTGAGGTCAATGTTGAAGCATCCAAGGATAAAAACCTGTCTACTGAAAACAGCTGAATTGGAAAAAGTTTCCTGTATATACTCAAAAAGTATCAATAGACGAGCTTGGATGACAGTCCATGCAACCCAAAACGTCATACCAAACTGACCTAAAATCAGTACACTATCTTTGCCAAGATCTGGCCGAGGAATTAGACTGGTTTTAACAAAAATTGCTACACCAACATTTTAGATATTAGATTGGCATAGAAAATGACTGTAACTGTGAATTTACACATAAGTTTTTACAAGATTTTCAAAGGTGTTCAATCAAGGTTTACTTTCAGACTTGAAAGACTTAGAAGAAGCCCACCACAATGAATAATCTTAAATTCAATCATGTAAAGTAGTTTTTCATTTGTTTTTAGTATTGTCAGTTTTTAGTTCTTAGTGTTGTAATGTATCTTAGTTGTAGAGTTTTGTGTATGAATTGTATTTAGGATTGATTGATAATGAATGAAAAATGAAATGAAATGAAAAATGAAAACAATGAAGAGAATGACTGCTAATATTCAAAAGAAATAAAGACTGCCTTAATGTTTACTACTAGAAGATAAATTGCTTATGAGCAATTCCAGACATCAGCTCTACACTGGCAAAAAAGTTGTCTTCTAACATAGAAACATATTTTTCTTCATTTACATGTCAGACAGCCAATTAACCAACGCCATTGCAGGGCCGTCGCTACGGGGGGGGGGGTTCGGTGTGACACCCCCCAGACCCTAACCTTGTCGGCAAATCTTCGAAAATGGAAGTTTTGTCATCAACCTCTTGAAAACTGGCAAATTTTCAGAAGAAAGACAGAGGATTTTGCCATTTTCAAATAGATATTATCGGTTGTTGATGACAGCACCAGTCACAGTTGAAATTTATGAAAACCTAACGAGAATAATTGATGATCGTTCAAACTCTCTCGTGCTAAAGGCCAGGCGCGATCTGACCCGGGTGGCAAAGTGGCGATCCCTACCGGGCCCTTAGACATGCAAAGTAAAGAAAATTACGGGCCCTTTCTGCAAAAGTTGGAGTGGAGAAGATAATTTTCATAAACCGGAAACTGCAGTCACAGCCAAGGCCCCTATTGTTGGGGAGATGAGATCTCACTCCTATTGTTTGAGACAAAAGGCTTAATGATTTGTTCGAGCCAATCAACGTCGAGGGGCAGGGACGCATGCGTATTCTAACGAATTATCCCTACAAAATCCCGGGCATCCTCAACACCAAAAGCCAGAGTACACAACGAGATCTCGCAAACGTGTCTAATTTTAGGCATATAATTAATTTTAGTAATTTTAGTAATTTCTGAGGAGTTTTACGCATATAATTTAAGGACGTATTTTCGTATATTTTTCATTTAGGGTTTTCCTCGGAACTTTTTGTAGATGTAGTCAAAAGGGGAAGATCAAAATTCGAAGATTTCCGCCTTAAAAATTTGAATAATTGAATTGAAGGTACGTTGTCTGTTGTTTTAGTTGCCTTGGCCTGGCTCTAGTGTCGGAGGTCAGTTAAAATCAGGTTGTATTGTTCAAATCGAATGTCTACTCTCTGTAAACACTTAGGCCGCGTCATAAAATTCTTGATATTTTTGCTTACCTTGGAAGTAAAGTGGGCCTTAATACAAACAATAACATAAAACAACAGAGAATCCAGGCAGGTTTTTCAGTATGAAAGATATTTCTGCTATGACGAACTCCCATGTCAATGTGAATGATAAGCTCCGACCGCTCACTTGGTTTTGAAATTCAATCGCAAAGTTCTGTTTGCAGGGTTGCCAGGTGGCCTGGGACCAAGATGCCAAATTCTGTTTGAAAAGTTGCCAAAAGTTGCCAAACAGGTTTTTTTCTCACAATGACGTCACAAAACTCTCACGCATGCGTACTTAGGCCCAAAGTTAACTATCATGTCCGAGAATCAAGATCGGCAATGTTGATAGAGACATAAAAAATCATTGTTCTATTGAAAACATATCTGATATTCCATATTGAAACTCGAGGATTAAAATGAATATAACAAAATATCAAAAAGAGATAAAAAGTGTATCGAAATATATATATATCTTACATGTCTAGCAAATCTGCCATACCGTCAATATCAGTTACGACATTCGACATGTGAACAGTATGCAAACATATTTACACATTGTTTCCTATCACCGACACCACACCTTAACATTAGCAAAGTTGCCGACATCACAGGGTCACACCAAGATGTAAGTACTTTGTTCCGGTCACCCAAGTCAAGTGAATGAAACTTCGAGAAGTGTCAGGGAGAGGCACAGGGTGTCATTAACGGAATATTATCGAATTTGAAGGGAGAATGTCACGAAAAGATACTAAGAAAATGTCACAAACTCGTGAAGAGAAAATGTTCAAAAAGTGCCAAAAAATTGCCAAACTTTAGACAGTTGCCAAATCTAAATTTTTAGTTGCCAAACAACATGAAAAAGTGCCAAAATTGCCAATTTTGGCAACTAAATTGCCAAATTGGCAACCCTGTCTGTTTGTTCCTTTCTCGGGGGGTTCTATGCCTCTTTGACTCAGAATATATAATACGCATAATACGCATGTGCAATGGCCCCAAAACGGGGGTACTCATTTCATACTCAAGAACTTGCTGCATCTCATCTCCCCAACAAGAATGATAAGCTCCGACCGCTCACTTAGTTTTGAAATTCAATCGCAAAGTTCTGTTTGTTCCTTTCTCGGGGGGTTCTATGCCTCTTTGACTCAGAATATATAATACGCATAATACGCATGTGCAATGGCCCCAAAACGGGGGTACTCATTTCATACTCAAGAACTTGCTGCATCTCATCTCCCCAACAATAACCTTTATTACGACAGAAGATAAAAAAACAGGTGCTTGTGACCGAAAATGGTAGAAAGCAGAAGATAAACAGATTTCTAATATTTATGGGACCTAAACATAGGCATTCTGTAGCACACGGACTCTGATCAATAAATGATAAGGTCGTTTTTACTGCTGACAGAAGAAATAATTTTGGGAAGATTCTTCTTTTTCTAAAGTACACCGAGACTTGGTTCTCCAAAAAAAGTTAGAACAGCGTATGAACGTGCCCAAGCCTCCGATGAAGAAGTGGAGGAAAAAAACAATTTGTTTTTGTAAATGTTATTTTGTGTTGAAAAGACAAAGCAGCTAATAAAACGTGCTAATTAAAACATCATGCAAAACTCATAATTGGCGGTCTTAGAAACAATCTTTTTAAAGATGCAGTAATAAAGAAACTATTGAACATTTGCTGCGGCTGCGAACATTTGAAAAAAATCTAAAACAGAAAAGAATCAGAAACCCCAAGCAAAGGGAGACAGTGAAAGGGACCTTATTCAACATTATGGGATGAAACAAATGCACGGCCTTCAGACTTCCGAAAGCAACAAGACCCAAATCAACTTTACAAACGGCAACCAGGAAGAAAAACAGCCGAATACTGTTACTGGCTGTAAAAAAGTAAGAGCAAGAAAACAGGAATGCCAGCGAAAATAGACAAATATTGAGTGCTGCCAGCAACCGAAACACTTGCACTCTTAAAAAAAGTGAAATTAGAACAACATTCACATCGCAATTGAAGATTATGTAAAGATTATGTCACTGGTATACTGTTTCATTAATGTTATTGTACAATGATAAGATTTTTGGCATTACCTGTAGTTGTAGTATTGCTTCAATTATACTTAATGACTTTTATTTATTCTGTTTTAATCGGGAAAACTGCAATTTAGCTAAACAGTTGGCCTAGAACTTTATTTGGTAGACATTCGGGAACTATGGCCTAGAACTTTATTTGGTAGACATTCGGGAACTATGGCCTAGAACTTAATTTTGTAGACATTCCCACCACTCACCCCCTAAAAACATTCAAATAAGTATCATGCGACAGATGAGGGCGTATATATTGAAAGAAATGCTTTTAAGTCTTTTGTAACCAAGACATGTCCAGTTTCTCTGTGAAACAATAGGCACGTTTCCTTATAAAGATTGATTTAGCTGAAGTGGTATGAAGCATAAAGTTTGGCTTCTCCA